TAAACATATGATTAAGCTCAAATAACATAATCTACCTATCTTAACATTCAAAACAGCCACATAATTATCAAATCCAGCCACCAACCATTTCTCAATTCAGCTTATGCCATAACCCCTAAATTAACCCCTAAAATAACCCCTAAATTACCCTAACAACCCCTAAACACTATCCATTGGTAACCTACTAACCTAATCAAGGTTTAGGGAGTTACTTACCACTAATATAAGCTAAGAATCAAGCTAAACCCAGCAGCACCAGTCCCGGCCAAGCCAAGAGCTCCGGCGAACGGCGGCGGCCCAAACGGCGATCCGGCGAACGGCGGCTGCTCCGGGTGTGAACGGCGGCTTGCGGGCGGCTCACGGTGGTCCACGGTGGTCCAAGGTGGTCCAAGGTGGTGGCGTGAGGGGCTGATGGGTGGTGGACGGTGGTGGGGAGTGTCTCGGCCAAGAGAGAGGAAGAGAGAGAGAAAAATGAAGAGAGAGAGAGAGCAAGGGAAAAGTGAGGAGAGAGAGAGTGTGTGAGCTGAACATATCTCACCAAAATGGAGGGCTAGGATGAGTCCTTGATGCCCAAGTATTGATCTAAGGGCTAGAAATGCATCTTGACAAAAGGCTTCTAGAAGGGCATTTTTGTAATTAACCAAAAAGGCAAGGGCAAAGTTGACCATGAAGATTTTCGGCCACTAGGGTAAAGATACCAATAAGTCCTTCCACTCAACAAATAAATTCTAGAACACATGGGGGTAAAATCGTCTTTTCTAATTTCCGAGCCTAATTTCCCGTTTTGCGAATTTCGAGCAAACCGATAATAAAGCGAGCTTAATGCGGCGTCGTCAATATAATAATTTTGATATCCTTGAAAGTTCGATACCCAAGTTCGGATTCCAATTCGTGGTCAAAATCGCTCAAACGCGACTTTCGTGTATCTCAAACTAACGGGCGGCTTTTAGGGTTTACGCGTGTCGACCCGTGATTGATTTGATATCAATCCACGTTTAAGTTTACTCGAGCCATGGTGACTTCGGTTGTCATGTAATTACGAGGGTCAATCACTAGTTCCGAACGACACGATCGTTAGAAATTGATTTTGGAACGTTTGGAATGCATACAGTGATTAAACGGCATCACCCGTGACTCAATTGTATAACATTGTTAAATTGTTCCTTAATCATTCTTGGATCTGCCTAAAATGGTCCTAAATATCCCCTCGTCAATTCTTATGGTCGAAGTATCGATCCAGGTTCGAGTTCTTGGGTCGTGCGTATCAAAATCCTAACTAGCCATTCCCTAACGGTTAGTATTCTCAAGAATGGCCAATTCCGAGTGAGATATAACAGAAAGTGCATTGATGATAATATCATTTCATAAATCCCGAAAGTGGGTCGAAATTCAGAATGTCACACAAGTCATAAGTGTGCCACGGATGCGTCTTGTGGCAATTGCCTTCACTTAAACTTAAGAGCGTGATAACACGTTGTGAAGTGTAATTTGATATTAAATCTTTGTCAACATTAAGATTCAACACTTAAGAAGGATTTATCTTTTTTATAAGTGAATGAGGATACCATATAGAATTTTTAGCATAGACATAGTCAACATACAAAATAATAATTCTTCGAATGTTGGTTTCTTCTTTATAACAAGGATACTCACCTTAAGCAGGTAAATCTTGAGCTCGTGAAATGAAACAATGTTGGGTTGGTGATATGTGTATGTTACAAACATTTAATTTGTTTAATGTTAGTTAGAATATTTTTTTAGAAAAATTTACTAATTTAAGAAGCTTTTCATTCAAGAAAGTTGGGTCGACACCCCGCTTCCCAACTGGCGCAGTCCAAGCTCTATCAGGCTTGGTAGTTCTATGTAGAAAATATAATATTTTTCAATCAATGGTTGGTATGAGCAATGATTTTAAGGCTCGATAATAGTCTAAATCCTTTGATCTTGTTCATTGGTACTGTAGAAATTTAGTTAAGTAACTCATTCCAAGTAGGAAATACTCAATAAATAATATATCGGGTATTTTGACTTTCATGGTCGGTTAATAGGTGTACTAAAAAAAACTGGTCGTGCGACATAGGACAGCCGGCGTCCATGTCAGCAATTTCTGGCCTAAATTGGCCGAATAGACTCAATTGGTAACAATGTGAAAAGGTTTAGGACTAAATTGGTTCGATCAAAAGGTTTAAGACTGAATTGGTACAAATGCAATAAGTTTAGGACTTTTTTTATACTTTTCCCAATTTCTTGTAAAGTGGTTTTTCTTTCTTCAGATATAATCACTTAAAATTGAAATGTGTGCCTTAATGCTAGTAGATGTATACGATATGATTAAATCAAATTTAATGTATACTTTTCCCAATTTCATGCTATATGCTTTGTACCCTCTCTCAAAAGTAGTTGGTATATGTATTTTAATATGATGAATGTTGGTGCTTCAATCAAGTTATGATTGGTTAGTTACTTCATGGGCGTTGGTAATGACTATGACATACAAGAATAAATGTTGGTAACTCGTTGAATAGTTAGTAATCTTGAAAGTATAAAGAAATCTTGGTACTTTTTTAAATCAAGCAAGATACTAAGATTAGGTTATATCTTAATGTGATGAATGTCGGTAGATCACTCAAATTAAAGTTGATAATTTCAATAAAAGTTCATAACTTCAAAAGTGTTGGTAAGTCATAAAAAAAAATATTGGTACATTATTAAAATAGTTTAGGGAGTGTTGATACTTTTCAGAACCAAGATAAAATAGAATGATTAAATTATGTTGTTATCTTGACAAATGTTGGTATATCGGTCAAATTAAGATTGATAATTTCTAATAAAAGTTAGTAACTTCCATGGTGTTGGTAAGCCATAAAAATAAATGTTGATAGATTGTCAAAATAGTTGGTAATTTCTTACGTATGAATAAATGTTGGTACCTGTCAAAACTTGTTGATAAGTTACTAACGCATTAAGCAATTTATCTGTCACTTTTTCGTTATTAGTGACATTTAACATTTACCAAGCGTATCAGTGATACATTAATATGGAACTGGGTTCATCTTTTAACTCCACGAAATGTTAGTTACATCCCAACGATTTAAGTTAAGATTGAAGTTATTTCTGTTTCTTTTTTAATGAGTAAACAAAAGAGAAACGACAAGATTGCAACATGACAACATGAATCAAGGGCACTTCAATGATACCTCAAGTGTACCGTATAACGTGATGACGTGCCATCATAATTAAGTACCAGAATATCATGACAAGTCGTAAAATTGATTTACGACATTACGGAAAAATGTCATAACCAAGTGTAAAAACAATTGTAAAAGAAAAGTGAGGGTACGGTACACTAATATACCTTAGAGATTCGGGGGTAATCAAGTTCATAATAAAAGAGAACTTCCAAATTCGACTGGACCAAACAATTAAAGCTCACAGGCGTTCGCATCGAGCATCCATATGAGTTGCCATCCAAGCTTTTGCTTTGATTTTAGGGACGGTCTCAAAGCTTCTTTACTAAAGAGAGAGAATCTTGGAATCTAAAAGCTGCTTTTGTGATGCTTGCTTTTGTGATGCTTGGACAAGGATGGCACTTAAAATATTTGTTTCGAGCTTGAGGAGATTTATGTTCTCTCTGACAAAGTCGGTCGCTTTATTCGGGAGTGGAAAAGAGTAAAAATCAGGTACATTAATGCCAGAGGCTTTACTTTAGTCTTTCTTTGTTTCTTTTTTAAGCTCAAGGAGATTTTTTTTTTACTCTATATGGAAATCTGGCAGTTTGTCAATGATACTTGTTATAGTTCAACTCTTGAATTTTTTCTTTGAAGGGGATGTTTTTGGGAATTAAGGGAAATTTATCTTAGATTAAGTAAACTTGGAAGAAAAACAAGAAAGTCTAACGTAGAATCAATATCTATAATAAGCCTAACGCAGAATCAATATCTTTTTGAACCGACTATCCTTCCATCATGTTGGATTTGAGAGCTTCCTCTTGAAACTCATAAAGGAACGTTGGTGGGGAGAGAAACAGAATACATCTTTGTGCATAAAACAAAAAGCTTTCGTTTATAACATGGGTATTTGAACTTTGCGAGTCGAGTAACTTCAATTGATACACGTAGCTGACCAAACAAAAAAAAAATTGATACACGTAAACCGTCCTCTTGGCTTATGGTACATGTAGGTATGAAAATGATTAACAAGTCAATTTAAAATCAATATCTTTTGGAACCAACTTTCCTTCTAGCTAGGAAAAGGATACCACAAGTGCCATAATTTTTGTACGGTACTCACTTGAGTGTCATAACTCTATTTTTGGTCACTTGAGTGTCATAACTTATATATGGTGCTTATTTGAGTGCCATAACTTTCTTTTCCAATCATTTGAATGCTATATAACTTTTTAATCGATCACTTGAGTGCCAAAACTATTTGAAAACGTCCACCATAAGTGTTATGCCATGTCAAATTTCGGCACTTGGGTGAATATTTTTAAAAAGTTTTGGCACTCAAGTAATCGATTGAAATTTATGACACTCAAATGAACGTTTTTAAGAAGTTATGGTATTCAAGCGGTCGAAAAAAAAGTTATGGCATTTAAGTGCGCGTCTTACAAAAGTTATGATACCTGTGGTGTTCTTAACTCCCTTCTAGCCTTAATGGCTTTGAGAGATTCCTCTTAAAACTGATTGGTAAGGAGAGAAAGAGAATTCATCCTTTTACATAAATTAAATTTTTTTTTTGACATGTGTATAGCTCCTCCATAGGGTGCCAAGAATGCCCTCTAAAGTTAATATGAGTGGTTGACGCTGTGATTTAAAAGCAGAATTTGCTTTATCCAAATTAAGTTATTAGCCACTTAGCTAACCATTAAGGGTTGAATAAATCAAAGGTTTCAAGCAATCATTCTTGAGATAACAATAAATTCAAGAGAAACAAGAAATAACATACCTCACGAGTTACAACATAAGCAAGTAACAAGAATGTACCCGTACTTACCAGTACCCACAAACATATGCAGTCGAGACAAGTGACAGCGATACATTAATCAAGGCGGTTTTATTTTTTCTTTTCTTCTTTTTAAACATAAGAAACTAATAGCAAAAGCCTCACCTATCAACTTTAGTTTTTGGGTTGAAAAGCAACACCCTTGACGACTAGCCCATTTTTCCAATTAGAACTGGTTTCGGATATAGAGAATGTGAGTTCTCCGATGTTTTTGGACGACGTCATGAATTCGCCCATCAAAATGTTCACCGGCTTTCCTCGGGGCGTTTGCTGCAAACTCTCCATGCGCCCCACTTTCGACTCATCCGGTAAAGTAATGTGGAGCTTCACAGGAACGCTCCAACCCCAACTTGACTCAGCCATTGATGCCACCAACGAGACTTCATACAAGGTGTTCGGTGAGAGCACGACCGTTCGGAACTTCCCAGTGATTTCCAGCCAGCACACGTTTCTCAGCTCAGCTTCCTCAACATCCACATTACTGTGAAAATTGAAGTTCAATGTCAGGAGTTGGACTATTGCAGAAGAAGAATTGCTAATGTGTTCATTACCCCGTCAATTTAGACGATGAAATGAAAGAAAAGACAATAGCTACACATGAATTGCTTCGATAGATTTTCCTAGTGCAGATCATATTTGCATATGAAGTGCATTACCGGAACGAAGGGACAATTGTGTTGCACGTGGAATAGAATAGCGAGGAATGAGGTAATCAAGAAACCACTGGCGAAATGAAATATTAAACGGGATCTCAAGAATGCAGAATGAAAACTACATTAGAATGTCCAAGTTAAAAAAACTTGAATGATGGATAGGAGGACTACATAAATGTAAAGCTCATTATACCCCATATAAAGATTCAAGAAATGTACTTCAACAATCAATTTGGTTAGCTTAGTTCATTTTCACCTCAGTGAAATAAGTTTTGGCTTGGACACTCGATATTTATTATTCATATTGAAGTCGCCTTTGTTAAGATGCACGTATTAAGATGTTAGCAATACAGAATCTCGAATGGCACATAGTTCATGTGATAGAAATAATTAGGGATAATTGTTCGGGAAGATGGTCCAAAAAGTCCAAAACCTATTATACAGCAGTCAATTCAGTCTTAAACTTTTCAATTTAGCTAATTTAGTCTTAAACCTTTTGATGATTTTCCAATATAGTTCTTCCGACCAATTTTGGCCGGAAACCGCTAATGTGAATGGTTTTTGCAATTTTTAATAAAATTTTTCAAATTTTTTTCTTTTCTTTCCCTTTTCTTTTCTTTCCTTTTTTTTTTTTCCTATTTTCCACAGCTGGTCGTCACGGCCTTGGCGATGGCTGGCGGAAGTCGCTAGCCACAAGCGAGGGTTGCAACGCCCTCGTCGGCCACAATGAGGACTCATAGGCCCTTGCCTAGATCGGGCGAAGGCTGTGTGGCTAGCGACCTCCATCGGCCATTGCTGAGGACCCGGTGACCGGCGAAGGGAAAGAAGAAAAAAAGAAAAAGGAAAAAGGAAAGAAAATAAAATAAGAAAAAAATTAGAAAATTTTAAAAAAAAATTACAAAAATCATCAACGTCAGCGATTCCTGGATAAAATTGGCCGAAAGGACTACATTTGAAAATCATAAAAAGATTTAGGATTAAATTGGCCAAGTTGAAAAGTTTAGGATTGAATTCATAGGTACAATTGTTTGAACTTTCCAACGAAAGTGAGTTTAACTAGGAATGTTGGTAAGTCTAGACTTGGACCTCGATGACTATATTGTCTCTACAATGAGGTATATTGGTCTTAGGACGCTCCCTAACAACTTTTAAGACTAAAAGGGGTTGTCTCCCCGCATCCAGTGCAGTACAAAACTTATCTTTACGATGGACACCAAATAGACAGACACAAAACACTAATTACTCACTGCATAACGTAAGGGACTGTGCATTTATCAACTGATCTCCTTATCATTCAACGTTATGGAAACTATATCAGAAACAATTACATGCTCGAAAGGCTAGTTGGAAAGGAATAAGAGCACGAGACATCATCGAAAAAGATACTTGAAAGTTAAAATTGTTCATATGATTTGCATCTCAACCTTCCATTTCTTTTTTCCGTTTTCCTTTTTTTTTTTTCGGAATATTGACTCTTACCCGGACTCTTTGACGATCTTCCATTGCCAGTACTGGCGGGTGTCGCCCCATGTAATTGCAAGCTCCCTCGCAAGCACCATGAAGCAATTCTTGTTCAGATGCCTGTCGACCCAGTACTTCCGCAACTATGAAATTTCAAATTCTTAAGTACAATTTCAACTTGCATCAAATCTATATTAAAAAAAAACTCCTTTTTTTATTTATTTAAGTTTAGAATGAAGGTAAGAAAATCGTGTGTGTGTGTGTGTGTGTGTGTGTGAGAGAGAGAGAGAGAGAGAGAGAGAGAGAGAGAGAGAGAGAGAGGCTCACTCTCTTCCCCTCTTGCTGCAGAAACACTCCGTCGTAGAGCTGATCGCAGAGCTTGTCGAGAGGGAAAGTTTGAATGGGCACGACAGAAGCTTTCACGATGGCCACGTAATTGTGCGGAGGTCTTGTTACTCTTGCCTTCCCTGTTTGCTTAGGCGTCTGTGAACCCATCTCTTTGGCTTCTTCATGGATCTCAGCTTCAGCTTCCATGTCGGGAGATAGCCAATGTTGCTCCTGTTAAGGGTGTAGAGAGAGAGAGAGAGAGAGAGAGAGAGAGAGAGAGAGAGAGAGGAGCTACACAGGTTTCTTTATCCCAAATAATATTGATGGAGCCACAATTAATAGTTGTAAAAATGATAATTCAAAAGTGAAGCCATTTCTCTGTGTTTTTCAGTAGAAAATTTTCTGTTGGTCCACTCTTCATCAAAACTTGAAATAAGCACGCTGTGATAGCATGTTGTGGGGCTGAACCATAATTTTTTGAACTTGTGAATTGTCCCAATTTGATTTGTGAGTAAATAGATCAAGAACTCGGGGAATTATCCCTTTAAAATTTGGTAAGGTTTATTAGTGACTTTCATAATAATTCCACCTATCACAATATTCATAAACTAAGTTCACATGGTTATCTGTGTAGGGTTCAACGTAGGGTTTCACAGTTGTTAAAACGCAGCGGAATATATTTGTAAACCGAAACCCTAGAACCCTAGACAGGATCCATTTGTATATTGAAATCGAGACAGAAATTCAATACGTACCTTTTGCAAATCGAGCGTAAATTGACAATTGATTATGTCTAGATTAGTGCTCAAGTGTTGCGCCTCTACCGGTATCCACACACACGAACGGAATTCTCCAACGATCCAAGTGCTAGCTAAAGATCTTGAAGTTCTTTTCTTGATTGCCTTTGATTTTCGAGACTCTCTCTCAAATATATGAATAGAGAACGATTCTCTATCTTAGGGTTTCTCCTGGAGGCACTCTCTCTAGGGTTTTCCCATTGGAGGCGTGAGACTCTCTCACTATCTATATATATATAGCCTCATAGGAAAATAAATTAAAATCTACTTCTTATTTTAAGTAGATCCCGGCGCACAGAAAATATTAATTCAGTTCGCTTTTGTGTGCGACCCTGTAGGTTCACTAAACATTAGCAGTGTGCTCAAAACCCTTTTTGGCCCACAAGTCATAAGCGGTCTCTAGCAAGACATTATGACTACCTAAGTATAATGAATGTCGATTTTCCGACACAACTTAATCCACAACTAATATTAGAGAATCAACCTTGATTAATTCCTAGGGCAGACCACTAACAATCTCCCACTTGCACTAGAACCAATCATATAAACTAAGTCCCTTTGTCACTTGATTTCCGAGTTAAGTATAAGGCAGGACAAATGTCATCCTTATATAACTTAAACTCATTTTCCCGATACCGCAATTAGACTGTCAAAACAAGTAGTTGACTCTTCAACTCATTTGAGCATGGCCATTCATTTCACAGTCTCAACTCTACGGGAGGCCAGGAAATCATACCCTCGTTATATGAGATGGACAAATCCCATCTTGTCTACTCATATCACTCAGCACGATTCATGACATGCCCAGCCATTACCTTTATAATCACCTATTACGGCTGACGTTTGGCAATGTTAAAGCATGCCAATCCATGTCTAGGAAACCATGGCAGACATTATACTCTATGGTTGTGATGAGAAACACTGATGACATTATATAACAATCCTACAGTATTCTCATAGTGGGTCTGTCCAATACAATGTTCTCCAACATGTATTCCATGTGATCAACTTTATATCTCTATATTCATGACCCGTGAAACTTGATCATCAGTTGATTCACATGCTAGTCTCAAACACCATTTGCTTCCCAATGCACAATGGCAATTGACTAGGGACATTTAGAATATTAATATCCACTCTATTGATAGAGTTTCACGATCAAATCACGTATTTGAAGGATATTCAATATTTAGGGGATAAAGATTTCGCATTCAATTATATACTCAAATTAAATCGAAATCAAATATAATATATATATTTTATTAATGAACAATGAAAATGTATATAACATATACTCCCAGTCACATCAAGACCAATTACTAATGTGTCTAAGGCCTAAAGCGTTACAATGACGCTCATGCTTACGTTGTGGAAGAGCCTTCGTCAACGGATCAGCTATATTCAACTCCGTTGCAACTTTGCACATCTTGACATCACCTCTTTCAATGAATTCTCGAATGAGATGATACTTCCTGAGTATGTGTTTGGTCTTCTGGTGAGACCTATGCTGTTTAGCCAAAGCTATGGCCTTATTGCTGTCACAATAGAGGTCCGTTGGATTTGAACTAGTGGGACTGATTCCCAGTTCTTCTATGAACTTTCGAATCCAAACAGCTTCCTTTGATGCTTCTGAAGCAGCAATATACTCAGCTTCTGTCGCAGAATCTGCAAGAGTGTCATGCTTGGAACTCTTCCAGCACACCGCTCCACCATTCACGCAAAAGACAAAACCTGACTGCGATCGAAGGTCGTCTTTGTTGATTTGGAAACTAGCATCAGTGTAACCACTTACAGTGATCTGTTCCTCACCTCCATAGACTAAGAATAAATCCTTAGTTCTTCTCAAGTACTTAAGGATATTTTTGACAAACAATCCGGTGAGGTTCCCCTGGATCGGCGGTATCTACTTGTCATGCTCAATGCATAAGCAACATCGGGACAAGTGCATAACATAGCATACATGATGGATCCCACAGCTGATGCATAAGGAATCCTACTCATGTGGTCTCGCTCATCTTGTGTTGAAGGACACTGAGTCTTGCTAAGACTTATGCCATGTGTCATCGGGAGAAAACTTTTCTTGGAGTCTTGCATATTAAACTTATTAATGACTTATAATGTTTGACCAGAATTAAACTCTCTCTCTCTCTCTCTCCTCAGCTCCCCCATTCGGCAGAACCACCCAGAGCAGCCCCCACCAGCTCTTTCTCCTCCATTTTCTCTCTTTTTCCTTTCTTGTTTGGCTCACCGGAGCTTGTCGCCGGCCACCGGAGCACCGCCGCCGACCACCGTGCCCCGCCGTGGACAACCTCAGCCCCCTCAGCCTCAGCCTTGCCCTGGCCGACCCTTTCTCTCTCCCTTTCTGTCTCTTTCTCCCTCTTTTTCTCTTTCCCGTCCGGCAAAAAGGGCCGCCAGAGCTTCGCCGGAGCTCGGATCGCTGTTCCGTCACCACCCAACCGTCTAGCCTTGCCGCACGACGTGGCCGTACCTGTCAGTACGGAAGTTACTGTTCATCGCGTCTGTACGGTCACTGTTCACGCCGTCCGTACGCCGTCGCCGGGAATTCCGCCGCCGGTTTTACTGTTCACCAGTGATCGGCCACCGTTCCCCGTCGTCGTGACCTTGGATTAGGTGAGTAAAATTCCTAAACCCGGATTATGACTGATAGTGCGTTTTCCTGGACTGGTTTAGGTATTATCGGTGTATAATTCGGACTGGATTGAGAACTGATTGGTGGAAATAAAATCCGAGGAATTTAGTGGGATTATTATAGATAATTATTGGGCTCGGATTGAGGAAATAGCGGCTGTCCATATTTTCGAGGAATGTACCGGATTATATTGGACAGCAAGAGTTATTAGCTGAATGGCCGGGATTACCCAGAATGATTGGCTGTTGATTGATTGGTGATCAATTGTGTTTAATTGTGAAATGCCATGTTGCGTGCTTGTGTGGCTGAATCGTGCGGAGTGTGATCGGCCAATTGATGGCTTGAATTGTGTATTTGGAATTGGGCCGCACGGTATTAATAGGCCAAGTAAGCACGTGAATTGTGAATTAGGCACTGTGGTATGACTTTGATTGAACTGTGTGCCTGTGCCTATGTTATGTGAATGCTCATGTTGCATTTCATGGCACGCATTATGAATGCCGAGAATGAGGCTTGTGATGAAATTGTGTGAGACTGCGTGCCTGTCATGAGCATGTGATCACCTAAAATACCCTGAAGCGTTTTACGCGGGGTTTAGATAATAATAGGTTGTGTGATCACCTAAGGGCCTTCGGGTCGTGACCTTCGGGTCGATACCGTCCTCATGCACTTTGAAGCAGGACGATGCCCGGTACGTCCGGAAAACGACCATCCTCATGCACTTTGAAGCAGGCTCTGGTTCGTAAGGAGATCAGTGTTGCGCCTCATGCACTTTGAAGCAGGCTAGAGACACTGGGCCAGATCGATTGCTGCGCCTCATGCACTTTGAAGCAGGCTAGACGCACCGGGCCGTGAATATTGTTGACTGGAGTCGTAATGAATAATAAATTGGGCGATTGCCAGTGTGCCAGTGTGGGCCAGTGGGCCAGGGGAAATGCACGTGACATGTCGACGACATTTGCATGCATGAACATGCATGGACTGGCATGCGAAAGTGTGAGAATCGGTGCATGAGCATGTGATTGGCATACGGGTGATTATGCGTGCCACGTATGTGCCGTGACTATTATATGTTGATCTGTCTAACCCGCAGGGTCAGAGAATGGTTTGATTATTGTGATTTAAATATTTGTTTCCGGTCAGGAGATTGCATGCTAGCCTAGCCTAGGTTTAGGGGTTGAACTCGCTGAGATTCGTCTCACGGTTGTGTAAACCGAAACTTTTCAGACCCCCGACCGTAAGGATGGAGAGACCACCGCCTCTTTTTGGGATACCTCTGCAGATCCGGCAGTATACTACTACCTATCCCTCAGGAAATGGGGAGGCTTTTGTGAGATATCGATCTGAAGTAGTTGTGAATATAGGCGAGTACTTTTATCAGAAACAAGAGTACGTGGCATGGTGCCACCGGGATGCCAACGGAAATGAGGGAGAGCCCCTTAGGACCTTTGATATTCCGATCGATGATACTGGGTTGATGCAGCCAATTATAGCTGCTGGTGAGGTGATAGACCCTGAGGCCACGCCCGAGTGGATGAGGCAGGAGGAAGAGATGGATGAGGAGCCTGAAGTACTAGCGGAGGACCCCGAGCCTATGGATGAGGAGGAGGATGACGAACCCGAGGCCATGGAGCAGGACATAGAGGAGGACGGAGAGGTTGCGGAGCTGGGATCAGACGAGGAGGGGTTCGAGGTTTACCTGGACCCGGAGTTGGAGCTGGACTCCGAGGACGAGCGAGCTCAGGCCATGGATTCGGAGGAGTCGGGGACTAGCGAGGATGCCTCCGAGAAGCTGTCAGATGATTCTATTGAGTCGTCTGATCCTGACTGGGAGCCATAGAGTCATCCCGTGTCCTTAGCTATTAGTGAGGGCCGCTACTTTTTGGACTGTAGCTCTCTTCCCAAGTTTTTAGCCTGACCTATCTAGCCGCTTACCACTTTTTGACCAAGTGGCTACTGATCGTGTGTACCTTTTGTTTGTCCTTGTAAATATTGTACGAATGGTTTTTAATAGTAATAGAAATGTGTAATTATTTTCTATGATGGTGTTTGATGTGTGGCTATCCTTGGCTCATATTATAGTTGTCTGGGTTTGTTTATTTTATACTTCCGCTTGTGCTTGAAATTTGTATGGGAGTGGGTCGGCGACGCTTCCTGGGACGTCGCAGTCAAACGACCGAAGGTGGGATGCTGGCGCTTCTTGGGGTACGGGGCGTGACACTTGAGGTCCCATGAGGCTGGCCGGCGATCAAATCTGGCCGGCGGCCGATGGCTGAGCTCCACCTCAAATGCTTTTTAAAAAAAAAATATTAGCAAAAGTCCTATACAAAATATAATTTTTACCAAATAGTATTTAGGCCAAAGCTGCTTTCAAATGTGATTTAAAATACACTTATCAAACACTATTTGCATTTCGAAAAATCCCTTTAGCCTAATGGCCTTTGCATTTTGCCAAAATCATTCTCCCAAAGCCGAATCAAACAGGCCCTTAATCTTACCCAGCCTTCTTGTAGTGGGGAAGAACTGTTCTTTCGCATCATTTAGAAGGGTGTTCGTGATGCTACAGACTTGACAAAGTTGATTGGAAGGTATTAGAGTCGAAAGACACAGATCAATTTCATGTCTCACAGGAATTTTATGCTTCAAATTTAATGCTCAAAAGTACTATTGATCATTAACATCTACTAAAGAACCAAGAAAAAACCAGCTTTGACTATCACAAATCTATACTGATGCTCTTACTCTGACTCCAATTTTATTTTTGATAATAAAACATGACAACTAATTACATAACATGGCAAACTACAAGCGATAATACAACAAGGGTATCGTCCATTTGACTATGTGAATCGTATTTTCATGGATGCTGCGTCGTGAATTCAGAGAGAGCAATGAAGTCTCTCACGATTTGTTATGACATGGCCCCTGGTGATATCCTTTATGGTGGGACATCCAGATAGTGCCATCGTAAGCTCGAGCTCATCCTTCAGCATCTCAGTGACCTTTCTAACTCCAGTTTCCCTTTTTGCCGCCAACCCATATACTATAGGCTTTCCTATCTGTAGTAAGAAGACCACTATTTAGGAGAATGTCAACATTTGTCCTAGGGCACTTGTTCAATTGTGATTCAGGTGTTTTGGCAATGTCAAAAGATAGTTTCTACTAACTTGGCACGATATTATCACCCAAATACCTCAAGGGTTTGTTACGATACCCCTTACTAATATAGCAGATAGTCCACATCAAGAAATATCAGGAATGTGCCAAACTAATTATAAAAGATTGTACCAGTACTGCTTGTGCCCCAAGGGCCAATGCCTTGAAAACATCTGTTCCTCGCCGCACTCCTCCATCAACAAAAACAGGGACTTTCCCTTTGACTGCATGAACAACCTACAAACGAAGGTTTAAAAAGTCATGACCAAAATGCTGTTTGATATAGATGACTTGCTGCAGCACAAGCTTTCATGCATTTGTAAAAATAGAGGGAAACAGAATGCCACTGTGCTTTATTTTCAGGGGGCAAAACCGGGTGCATTTACTCTTATCCAGTGTTTACAAATGCTCCAAAATTCTAGAATCTATTATTAAACCTGCCGGATAAAGGAGTTAGTAAAAATACGCACCTCTTCCGTAAGCGATATCGTGGCTGGACTATGATCTAGTTGTCGAGCTCCATGATTTGAGACAATTATCCCAAGACACACTGCTTCCATCGCCTTATTTGCTGCCAATGAGGGCATACAAGCTTGTTGATAAGGTTGTCGAGTATGCAACAACCAATAGTAGTAACAACAGATAGAGTATACTGAGAAGCAATACGAAATTCCAATAGATGAATAAGATGCTTCAATCCAATATCAGAGAACACAAGGTCTTAATAGCAGCCATGACAAAATGAAGACAGACAATATCCCATTACCATCAAAATTCCTAACTCATACGACTTCCCCAACAGAATGACTACGGTGTTTGAACTACCAAACTGAGGCATAATGTTGTTTCCTTTCAAGATGAACTGAAGAATCTTCAAAGTTTAATGCTAGAGGTCACAATCTACAAAGTAGATATACAATCAAACCCCAATTTATCACAAAATTCTCCTGCGCTGTACGGATTTTTTTCAGTTTTACAGTAAGCCTCAAACTGGTTTTCACACTATCCTCACCTTCAATGTCAATTTAATCGTACCCAACTGTTCGCTATGGTGTCAATGTATTGTATAATACTGATGGAACTGTTTATACGGTGATGAACTGGCAATGACGTGGTGCTCACTATAGACCTCATCTAAAATAAAACAACAGCATGCACACGAATCTGCACTATTGAAAAATCCTAGCGAATTCCATCAAATCTAGCACAAATGAGAATGCAAAAATAGATTTTGGCACAGGTGACGAGTTCTCAAGCTGTCATTCTTGACTTTCATTTTATTTTCCTTGTAAATGCAATGATCCATTTGCTCATGTATGCATATGTGGTTAAAATTTTTATCTATTAAAAGAATCAGTGCCAAATTAGATCAAAACAGACGGTCTTGTCAATTGCTACTTATGGCCACGCTACCTGAAAATTGGTTGACAGATTGATTCAAAGCAATTAATGAAGTTCAAGGTAATATCTTCTCAACTCTGGGATAAAATTAAAAGGATCCTTAAAGTACAAAATTTTCCAGGTCTTAAGCCATCTTAAAATAAGACTTCTCGTTTAAGCTAGTGTTTTTAAAACCAAACCAGAAGGTTTTTTAGCCACAGATTTTGGTCGATTTCAATCAGTTCAACCTGGTATGGGACAGCAATTCAGCTCAATCTCTAATCTGGTTTTGGAACACTGGCATAAGCAATGAATATTCTAAGTAATTAAGCTATAGTTCAAATTAAGATACAAAACAGTCTTCAGACGAATCCTCAACTGCTTTTCTATTAGAATACAATCCTAGATCTTACCATCTTCGTTTGTAAGAACTCCCATGATCAGAATCGGCAATTTTGTAATTGATCTCAACCATCCAATGTCCTGCAGCATTGTAATTTAGTTACGTGACAACCAAGATACCAAATAAAGCAAATAGAGACATTATAAAGATCCAGTTATCATTCGTAGATCATGATGACAAACGAAAATTGAATGAAAAAAGTCACCGTAAGATTGCTGTCAAAACTATTTCCACACTGGATGACACTACCTCACACATCTCATTCATTCAGAAAACACGATTCTTTTGATGAAACATCACCCAGAAAAAATTTCAAGGATTAATTACTAAGTAATTTAAGATGGTATGGAGGTTCATCTTTCAAGTCAAAGAAGCATCAAAAGTTGAATCAGCAAAAGCTTGTACGTTTGAACCCTCATCCTGCAAATTGCAGCGGAGGCAAAGGAAAAGGGGAGCGAGAGTGAGAGAGATGTTATGCCAAATTTCTGCAATTAACAAACTATAAAAATTTGAGTCATCTCTATAAGGTTATTTAGGCAGCGAAAATATCTTCAACGGTCAAGCATTGACCATACATTTTCTGTTGCCTCACGTTATCCGGACCCTTTGTTTCTTGTTACTTCACCTCAAGATACAGCGGTAAAAATTATGTTCTCTAAGCAAATGAACTATAAAAACAACTCCTCCAGACACAGATATAATCAAACGGAACAGTTATAGAGAAAAGAGAGCCAATGAATACAATACTCTTTGCCCCAAGGGCAAACTGTTGACACCTAAATTTTGGCGTATCATTTAGTGTAATTTGCATAGAAAATTAGGGATTAAATTTTTAACCCCTAAACAAAAATATTTAAATTGCATAAACATATAGTTTAGGTCCATTTAATTTAATTGCATTTTTTGCATCAGATTGGCAGTGGCGAATGAGCTTAAAATTTCATCGAACGAGACTCGGCTCGCTCGGAAGGCAAGGGCCGGGAATTACAAGTCAAACGGGCTCGGTTGTTTTAATTTGAGTTTAATTCAGCCCATTATGCTTAATTAAATAAAAGCCCAAGTTAAATCAGCCCATTTAAATTAAATTAAACCTAAGCCCAAGCCTAAGCCCATTAGGACTATAGAGCCCATCTAATTGACCTAGGTTAGCATTATATCAACATGTTTAGGTCAGATTTCAAAGGGGGGGGGGGAGAAAAATTTTCAGATCTGATTTTGAGAGCTCAAGTGCGAGAGTGAGAGCTCAAGTGCGAGAGTGAAAGAAAGGGAGAGAAGGGAGGCCGGCAACACCACCACCCGTGGTCGTGCCTCCCATCACGTCGGAGGACCGCCGACACCGTCCCGGTCAGCCACCATCACTCCTTCCCTGTCCGCAAGTTATAGCCGTTGAAGGACCATCGTCGCTGCTTTGCCTCGCCGAACGGCTGTCCCGAGAGGCGTCACTGCTTATTCTGCTTCTCCATGCACCAGCCACGTCTTCTCCGAGGTCAACCGAGGAGCTTGTCAACGCCTCCTCTCCATCCCGTTGGTCCACGAAGCAAGCGGCTACGGCTTTGAAGATTCCCCATGCACGGCGTGCATAAAGACGTCTTCGTTGACCGCTTTCCTCGCCAAGTGAAGACTCTTCCCTGTCCAGCGGCCAATCAACAGAAGCTGCAGGCGGTGCACGTCAGTGAGGCCACAGCAAGCACTTCGTCCAGCGCAAGATCAGTACCACATCACCCGGAACCGTTCGTGCATCGCTGTGAGCCCCCGCCAAGTTGTTGTTCAGCCGGTCATCGCCCCCGCCGTCTTCGACGCCCGTGAGCCACCGTGTCGTCGCCACCACCGCCGTCTCGATCCGCAAAGCCCGATCCCGATCCACAATTCGAATTTGGAAGTTATCTGCAAATTAGGTAATTCAACATTATCCGATATTTTCAGAATATTTAATTTCCTAATATGGGTGTTTGAATATTTCGTGAATATCATGTGGATATTTAGATATCTTAGGATAATGTTCGATATATCCGCAATATTTTTAAATATTCAAAATTAGGAAAACTTCCTAATTTAGCAACGTATCTGGACGACTATCCGACCTTATCCCTAAGGTTCGATACGCGGCGATACGGAAAATTATTATCTTATCCATAACCACTTGGGTACGATAATGATTTTTATCCGCTTTCCAAATTTGAATAATCGGCTTTCCGTCGATATCTATAACCCTATAGATATGACTGATAGTTTGATTTGTATGCCTAATCCGAGTTTGAAACAAATATGGCGGATCGCGTGGACGTTTTGAATGTGGTTGCTATCCTTATTTATTTAATTGCTTTCCTTTTTCAAATAAACAGAAAATTCAAAAAATATTAATTAGATATGAATTAGAGTTTTTGCATGTCTAGGAATCCTAAATATATCTAGAAGATAGAGTAGTTATTTAATTTAAATTAGGACTTGAGATGATTTATTTCCTAGTTTAAATTAAGTAATATTCTAATCTTAATAGATTATTCAGGTTATTTTATTACTTCGAATTTCCATGAAAATCCCAAGAAAAGAAGAATGAATTGTTTTAGGATAGATTAGGATAGATTGTATTCTTAATTTAAGTAATTCATTACTTCGAATTTTAATAAAAATCCTAAAAAGAAATCATGCTAGGGTAGATTAAGTCATCATAGTTTGCATGTTAATTTAGGCATTTTTCTTATTCCGAATTTAAATTGAGAAAATACCAAAAATAATCATTCGTCTTGTCATTAGAAATAGGTCACGTCGTCGCACGACATATAGTTTGCATGCTAGGTTGCATTAATCGCATGTCATTTTCGCATGTCATTGCATATAGGCTAGATTTCATTTAAATAAGTGAAAATCCAAAAAAGAAATTGAGTGAATTGCTTGTTAATTAGAAATCATATTAGGGTGTCAATGTGATTTTCTAGCTAACAATGCAGATGCTTACGTTGCTTCCAGGTAAGTAATTCTTCCAAACTTGCAATTTATTTAATGCTTTTCTGGGTGTTAAATTGGTGGTTTGCGCACCCACATGATCACCTCACATGCTAGTGACTAAGTTAAAATGAATCCAAACTGTCTACCAAAACATTTTTTTTTTTGAAAAGAAAAGGTACCGAAAGGGCGTTAGACTAGACCTAGCGTAACCAAGTCCCCGAGCTTAGAATCTCTGGTTCGTAGGAATAAAACATATCTCCCTATGTTTTATTTAGGTTTCTAATCGACCATCACAAATAGATTAGTGGCGACTCCAAGCATGAAAACTTTTGCATGTTAAAAACTTAAACCCTAAGTTGCGAATTGGTAGGGCTTGAGAGGGCCCGAGTTAGGCTTAGTCTTAATAATCCATTAGCCTGAGAGAAATTTTAGGTCGCGACAGTTTGGCGACTCCGCTGGGGACTTGAGTTAAATCTCTTAGTGGACTTAGGCCAGTTTTTCTTTTCAAAAAATATTTTTGTTTGGCAGCGAGGATCCCAGGTACGTCCCTAACATTTTAGGTGTTAAATGTTTTTGCAGAATGGGAGGTATAAGGGGAGACGTGATTGTTAACCCTTGTTTTGCAGGGAGGTGTTTGGATGTATGGTTTATTTTATGCACGAAGCGCTGTTTGATATAACATGTTGTGCATGCCTTGCATTTACACTACACCGCACACACTACCCGCTGCCAGACCTGGGTGGCACAGGTTTAGGATGGTAGCGAGAGACAGCGGACACCCCGACCACACCCACGTGGTACGGGTCGCCCTCCTTGGTCCCGAAAGTTCTTTCACGGTGTCATTGAGTTCCCACCACGGTTGCACCCTTTGCAACCCGGGTCGGCTCCTTGACTAAGCCGGAGTAAGGGGAACCCCGGCCTAACCACAACCATGACTGGTTTAGCCCGGTAATCCTCGCGTCTCCATTTTGCAAGCCAGAGTCTAGATAGAAATCGAACCTCACATTTCATGCGCATGTCTATGTGATTGCCATGGTCCTATCGGGTAAAGTAAGTTTTCTGAACCTTTATTTCGCAATTTATTTATGTTCCGTATTTTCTTTGGTCGGTCCATGACATTAGGTCGGTCGTGAGTCTTGGTCTATACACTATGGGAGGGGCAGACATCCGGATTCTTGATGCTCCTAAGGACGAGCTCCGTGCCTGGTGGAATCTACTCAGTCCGACCAACCGCAAGCTAGTTGAGGGCCACATCGGGAGGCTGCTCCCCCTACTGGAGGTCAAAGTCCGTACCGGCCTCGTTCGAGCATTAGCGCACTTCTGGTGTCCCGAGACCTCTACCTTTATATTCGGTAAGCACGAGCTCACCCCGACATTGGAAGAATATAGCGTGCTCATTGGAAAACCATTGGAGTCGGAGTTAGTCACACCACCTTTGGGAATTGATTCTACTTTAATGTTGGCTGAATTTTTGAATGTTGGAAAAGATGAATTGGGAAAGTTTTAAAAGCAAATCGCGGCACATGTCCTTTTTCATTCCTGAGTCAGTGTTTTGAAAAAGCCACATCTTTTCAAAAGGGAAAAATCTTTTTGTTAGCATTTTTCGGGTTCGTGATTTTTCCTCACTGTAAGAATGCATGTAGTCCGTCAATCGCATGGTTGGTCCAACAAGTCTGTCTTGAAAAGAATTTTGGCAACACCATTTTAGCCGAGACTTTCATTTCACTCACTAAATTTAAGCAACATGTTGACAAAGCGTTTCATGCCCCCCTCGAACTTTTGCAAATTTGGTTTTTGTCTCACATAAAAGGGTGTGGCGATTTACTCACAATATCCGAGCTTAGTGATTCTAGCCATCCCATTTTAAGCTATAAAGAAAAACAAGGAAATGCACCTGATTATCATTATTCCGAATGGATCATTTTCATGAAAAACGCTAGACCCCAAGGTTTCCATTGGCATGCTAATTGGTTCAAGGTCGAGGAAGCTCGGCTTACGTGTAATGGTGTTGGACCGGTGCCACTTTTGGGCTTCACTGGCACAATCGAGTACTACCCTGCCAGAGTGTCCCGACAGTACCAAATTCTCCAAGGACTCCCTCCGGCGTTACAGCCGGAACTCCTCCGGGTCGACTTCGCCGATG